GGTTATAGCTTTCATATAAAAAGGTTTAAATTAGTTTCATAATAGGTGTGTGTACATTGGATACTTTTTCTTCCATTCCTGTGATACTTTGCTAAGAACCAGCCAGTTACTCTTAAGAACACCCATCCCTTTGTAGTAAATTGAAGTCAGCTGCACCTGCTAATCATTTTAGTTTTTTCCAGAGGGTTTCTTTACTGGAAAAAGGATATACCAGTACAGAAAGTCAACCTGCTTCGCATTCCGTGCTGTTTCTCAGGGTGGCTTGTGGGCTGTATTTACAGCTGTCCTGCTCAGACAGCTTCATCTGACTTGGGACAGTTTCTGGGCCAGATCACTGCAGATGACATACAGCTGAAGGCAGAACAGCATGGGGGTTCGGGGCACAGGCTTTGGAGTCAACTAATTCCAGCTTCCAGTCCTGCCCCAATCAGTTACTTGCTATGAGATCCCAGGTAGGAGACTGGGCCATTCCTAGGTCTGTAAAGTGGGGATAATAACAGCACCTTCCACGTGGTTATGGAGAGGGAGAAGGAGAGGGTGTCAGGCCACATTCTTAAAGCAGCTATTATTTTTATCCCTGCCACCCAGATCCTCTCCCCACCTCTAGACATTTTGTAATTTAGCTCTTCAGAGTCTGGGTGTTTTATCCTCGCGTCCACTAGTTCCACTTGACCCACCTGTACTGTGGAAAAACAAAAACAAAAGCGGAAAGACCATTCTCTTTTACTTCTGAATTTATTGGGTCATTTTTCTTCTGCCATTGTTCATAAACATCTCTGATGATCTGAGTGTACTGAGCCACAGAAAATTTCTGGGAAAGCCTGTGTCAGAGCAGAGCACAACCTCATCCCAGAGTCCTGTCTTCTCCATTCCTCGCCTGCCAGGAGAAGCAGCTCTGAAGGGTAGACTTCTCCCCTCTCCCCTCTCCCGTCTCAAGCCACCAGGAAGCTCCCTTACACCTGGGGTGCTACTCTTAACCGCCCCTTTGCCCAGGAAAGCACAGGAGCCCTGGGGACCTCAATTGCCTCCAAAATATCCTTTGCCCTGACTTCTTCCCCCAGAGCTGAACAGCATGTGGGTAAATAGGAGGGGAAGTGAGATGAAGGGTTTGGGCCTTAGTGCACACCCCCATAGGATGGCTGGGTGCCTGCTCTGACCCCAGGCCACACTGTCCCTGGCCCTGCACACCAAAGTCCTGCCTGAGGAGCTACTGTGGGGATTTTACCCAGTGCCACCTTCCTACCCCTGATGACCTGGCTTTCAGCTCAGGCCACCGGCCGACAAGAGCCCACTGCTCTCTGTCTATGCTGGGCAGTCCTGCCCCTGCCTCTCTCCTTCATTCTGGACCTTCAGCTCCACACTGCCCGCCTGCTGCCAAGGGCCCCACAGCCTGTTCAGCCGCTTCAGCAGCTCCTGGAAGTCTGCTTGGAACCCGGACGAGGAGAAGTAGTAGACCAGGGGGTCGACGCAGGAGTTCAGCGTGCTGAGCAGCAGCACGTAGCTCCTCCACGCCGGGCTCTCGCCCTGGATGTAGCCCACGACGTGGGACACGTTGTAGGGCCCAAAGCAGACGAGGAAGTTGAGCAGCGTGGCTGCCACGAGCCCCGACACCCGCCTCCGCCGGTGTTGGCTGGCCCCCCTGCTGAGGATCCACACCAGGCGGCTGTAGCAGTAGCTGGTGATGAGCAGGGGCACCCCAAAAAGGACCACGGCCATCTCCAGCCGGACGGGCAGGAGGATGTTCAGCTGCTCCTCCTGGAATTTCAGGTAGCAGGTGCCATTGCTACTCTGGCTGTGGGAGGGGAATCTCCAGAGTTCGACGACGTAGACCACGCTGCAGTGAGCCGCGGCCAGCAGCCAGCAGGCGCCGCTGACCAGCCCGGCCTGGCCCGGCCTCGGCCGGGCCGTGTACCACAGAGGGTAGGCCACGCTCAGGAAGCGCTCGATGCTCACGGCCATCAGGAAGAGGGAAGTGAGGTAGATAGTGGTGAAGAAGAGAAACCCGGAGAGGGGGCAGAGGAGGAAAGGCAGGGACCAGCGCATGCCGTGTGCCGCCTCCACCATGCGGATCGGCAGGAAGAGCAGCAGGAGCAGGTCCGAGAGCGTGAGGTTGAGCAGCAGCACGTCCACGGCCACTGCGCGGCGCCGCAGCTTGCCCACAAAGATCACCAGGGCCACCAGGTTGAGGGGGAGCCCCACGAGGAAGGTGAAGAGGTACACGGAGAAGTAGAGCCAGTGATTGCCGGGGAAGAAGGACCAGTCCGGGCTCGTACCCATGGTTGGGGCCACTGATGAGAGAGAGAGCAAGACAGAGCGAGACAGAAGTGGAGATGACAGTGGGGCGGGGTCTTCCCCACCCCTCACCAGCAGCAGCATCTCAGCCATCTTCAGGACACGTTGTCACCACCATCTGCCCCACCCCTCACGCCCACAGATGCTTTCTGCGGCAGACTCAGCCTGCCTGTCTCCCGGATGGCGCCCGGTCTCCTGTCCTTCCCCCCACCCCTGCAAAGCAGGCACCAAGGGGCTCCCTCGGCCGGTGCTCACCTGCTCATCTGAGAACCCTAGTGGTCTGGCGCACAGCACCCTGCCGTCTGCTCCAGGACTAGCATGGCCAGCTATTTATCTGGCAGAACTGATAAGACCTGGCAGTGCCCATGACGTCACTCACTGTTGAACAACAGCACAAAAGATGCCTTGAGCTCCGTTACCAGGGCCGAGTCAGCATGCAAAGAGAGGAGCAAATTCCACGACTGCGGCCTCAGAGGGGTGCCCCGGGCAGGCCTGGCCTGGCGACTTGTCCTCCCCTCCCCTCTCCTGCACTTGAATTTTGTCTGCTTCTCTGGAATGGAACTTATCCAGTTTGCCTTGTAAGGGCAGGAAGTGTGACGCAGTGACGGAGAGCCCGGCTGTGGAAGAGGCCTGGGTTCCATGTGGCTCTGATTCATACTGACTTTGTGATTTGGGGCAAGTGACTTAAACTGTGTCTCTGCTTTCTCACCTATAAAACAGGGATAAGTATAGCGCAAGTCTCACAGATTAAAGTGACAATACACACAGGTCAAAATATATGTGCCCGTGGGTTCAAACCCTTATACTACATTTCAGGTGCTAGGAGTGAAGCGTGGCATGTGGGAGTGAGCACTCAGCAGGTGCTGGCTGCCGTCGTCCCCAGCACTGGTGCTGGCTTGTCTCTGGGGAGAGGGTACCAATAATAATACCAATAATAACGATGATGATGATGATGGCTGTGGTGGTGGTGATGATAGCTGCTCTCTTTTAGTGCATACAATCCATCGCAGACACTGCTGCTCAGGGTGTCACCATTATGTCACGAAGCCCTTTTGCATCACTGTGGGGAAGGGACTTGCCCCAGGTGATGCAGCTTGTTAAGTATCACCACCAGGGTTCAAACCCAAGCTCTGTCCAGCTTCTGAGATTCTATTTGTTCACTGAAATATTTATGAAGCACAATGACATACCAGTTCTCACCCTTAAGAATGACTATAAGCAAGGGCTGGGTGTGGTGGCTTGGGCCTGTAATCAAAGCACACTGGGAGGCCCAGGCAGGTTGATCACCTGAACTCACGGGTTCAAGACCAGCCTGAGCAAGAGCAAGACCTTGTCTCTACTAAGAAATAGAAATGGAGATGGGTACCTGTAGTCCCAGCCACTTGGGAGGCTGAGACAAGAGGATCTCTTTTTTTTTTTGCAGTTTTTTTTGGCTGGGGCTGGGTTTGAACCCACCATCTCCAGCATATGGAGCCAGTGCCCTACTCCTTTGAGCCACAGGCGCTGCCCAGCAAGAGGATCTCTTGAACCCAAAGTTTGAGGTTGCTGTGAGCCATGGTAATGCCACAGAGTAAGACTCTGTCTCAAAAAAAAAAGAATGACTCTAAGTAAAATGTCAGGCAATACTAAGTGCTGGCCCAGACATGGAGAAAGGGGAACCTTCATCCATTAATGGTGAGAACGTAAAATGGGGCAGCTACTTTGGAAAGCAGTTTGGCAGTTTCTTAGAAAGTTAAACATAAATTCACCATGTGACCCAGCAATGCCACTGTAGGTATTTCCTTAAGAGAAATGAAAATGTGTCCACATAAAGACTTGCTCACAAGTGTTCATAACACCGTTAGTCATAATAGTCAAAGTGGTGGACTGCTAGCCAGGGAAGAAGTAAACAAAGGTGGAGCACCCATGAGGTGGAGCTATGAGGCAAGAAAAAGGAGCGAACTGTCCGTACGTACCACGCCACGGATGGACCTCAGAACTACATGGTAAGGAACACGCCAGGCAGGGAAGGTAAATGCTACGTGATTCCCACTCACATGCAATGTCCAGAAAGGCAAATTTATAGGGACAGACAGTAGATTAGTGACTGTCTGGGGGGTGGGGTGGAAATAGAGATTGAGTGGACATGGGTATGAGGGATCTTGCTTCTAAAAGTAGATCATGGTAATGAGGGCACATCTCAGTAAATTTACACAAAATCATTGACTTGTTTGTTTAACATGGGTGAATCATATGATATGAAAATTAGATCTCAAGTGGCTGACAGTACAATGGTGAGCAAAACAAAGTTTGCTGTCATGGGGCTTCTCTGTGGTAGTGGTGGGGCTTAGGTAGAGTAGGGGGAGCTAATGAAGACTTCAACGCAGAACTGGGGAAGAGCCCCTGGAGAGAACGTTACAGATGGAGGGAGTGGCAGACACGCTGGCTGCTTCACCCGCTGGGGTAACCGTGAAGGCTTCGGGCTCAAGGGGCTAGAGGAGGCTGGGGTGGATCATGCTGAGCCTCACAGGCTGCAGGGAGGGACTGGGTTCTCCCCTACATGGTAGGAGGCACAAGTAAGCAGGCAAGGTGGCCCAGGACCCACAGGCGCCCCGGAGCTGTGGAAATAGAGAGTGGTCCCTGGCACCATGGCGTGAGCGTGGGGAGGTAGAAGGAGGCGGTGGGACTTCCTGGGCTTGAAGGTTGAGCTTTGAGAGAAATTCTCTGGTGTCACCACTGCATAGGGGCTGAGCTTTTTCCTGGCTCCCACAGGTTACTTAACTTCTCTGGCCTGTTTCCATATTTATAAAAGGAAAGTAATGGAATTTTCTTCAGAAGGCTATTGGTAGCGTTCATTCAGCAAACATTTACTGAGCATCTACTATGTGCTGGACTCTCTTCTAGGTGCTGAGGATACATCAGGAAATAAAATAGACCCTCCTGCACTTGTAGACAACTGAGCATGAACAGAGACCACTCGGGTAAACCGGTCTGTGCACCAGCCACATAGCTGCCACTTGCCGCGCTCCCGTACGTATATGCACAACATCACTGTCATTTGACACACAAGTCTGATTCCTACATCTCGGCTCAGCAGAGCACATGCCCAGGTGTCCGTCTCCTTCACGGCCACTCTCCTCTGCCCTCCCTCTCATGGATTTTTGGTGCTACCCTTCACCTTTGCAAAATGGACCACAAATATAGGCATTAACTCCAACACCCCATTTTCCAAATATTCCCCAGGCCTCGAGATCTTGCTTGGAAGGATCGTAGCCTGTGTCTACCTCTTCCTTGTGGTGAGGCCTTGGGAAAGTCTCTTAACCCTATTAGAGGATGGTAGCTACTTTGTGTAGCAGCTTTTTACAGTTTAAGAAAACGCACCCCTTTCCAGGGGAGCACACCTAGTGTCAAGGTGCACTGCGGAGGGGTAAGTGGTGTTTTCATTCAAGTCCGAGTAAGATGTTCCTTCTCTTAAGGCAGGCACACGGTGTGGTGAGCAAGTGCAGGGTGGAATTCAGTCACTGTTTGCCAATTTCCTGCACCCTCAGGTAGTGAACCACCTGCCCATTAGTACAGCAGTTGCACAGCCAAGTCCAAGGGTTGAGTGTGGGTGCAGGGAATCGCACTCATCGTAAAGCACTCAGCCTGGTGCCTGGCATTGGAGAGATGGTACACTTCACCCCTGAACAGCACAGGTTTGATTTTTTTTATAATAAATATATTGGAAATTTTTTAGAGATTTTCAATAATTTGAAAAAGATTACAGTAAAGAGCCTAGAAATGTCAAAAAATTTAAGACAAAGGTATGTCACAAATACAAAAAACAAAGGTAGATACTAGTCTCTTTTATATCTTACTACCATGATATATACACAAATCTATAAAAAGTTAAACTTTATCAAAACTGTAAGCACACAGATTATTCATAGTCCCATTTGCAGTCAAGAGAAGTGTACACTTGCCTCGGCGCCTGTGGCTCAAGCAGCTAAGGCACCAGCCATATACACCTGAGCTGGCAGATTCGAATCCAGTCCCAGTGCCAAACAACAATGACAGCTGCAACCAAAAAACAGTCGGGTGTTGTGGTGAGCACCTGTAGTCCCAGCTACTTGGGAGGCAGAGGCAGGAGAATCACATAAGCCCAGGAGTTGGAGGTTGCTGTGAGCTGTGATGCCACAGCACTCTACCCAGGGTGCCAGCTTGAGGCTCTGTCTCAAAAAAAAAGAAGTGTACAGAACTATAAAGTTACAGGATTAAATTGTAACTGCATAACATTACTGTACTACATAATATTTTACTCCTGACATAATTTTGTAGGCACCTCCTGTTGCTAGCTTGGTGACATAAGTTATCTTAGGTATCCACGTAAAATGCTATGTGACACTAATCATCTCCTCATGAGCAGTTTTTCTCTCCCATAAATTGTGAAGTATAAAGTCATCTCTCATAGTTCTTGTGGAATTTTCATTGTGTTTAGTGCAATGCCATAAACCTTGAATAGCCCCATGGGGACCCACAGGAAGTGCCACTCGTTACACTGCAAGGGCTCTCAAAGAGCACAGAAGCGATGATATTACAAGAGAAAGTTGAACTGCTTGACAGGTAGTGTAGACGGAAGTCCGAGGCTCTGTGTGCTGCCATGTCAGACAATTCATTGTGTAAACAGGTGGCGTAAACTTATGGCATCCATAAATACAATATAGTATTGTCAGTGTATTTCTCTTCCCTATGATTTTCTTAATAACATTTTCTTTTCTCTGGCCTACTTTCTTGTGAGCATACAGGATACAAAGTTTTTGTGCAATATGTATTTATGGACACCCTGTGTAATGCATGTAACATAAAAACGTGTTAATCGAATTTATGTTATTAGTAAGGCTTCCAGTTAAAGGATTTGGGGGGAGTCAAAAGTTATATGCATCACTATGGATGCTCTTTGGAAAAAAAAGTTAGACACGGATTTTCCACTGTGTAACTCTAAGCCCCGCCAGATGAAGTGTCATCTGTTCATTGCTTGCAGCGCTACTGATCTTGCCCCTGCTGGCTCGCGCCCTGCGAAGCATCTTTTCCTTCCAACTCACCGTGCGCAGCTCTAATGCTGCCCCCTTGTGATACAAAAGGGAATAACAGCATCGTTATCTTGCTTTCTGCCTCCTTTCTTATTCCGAAATGAATTTTTTTTCCTCAATAATTTCAGAGTAGCATCTCCTAAAGTGCATCATCAGAGTGGCAGATCCTCTCGATTAAAAGGAGATATTTCTCCTCCCAATGAGCACAAGGCCTCCGCCCACAGGCAGGCAGGATCGCAGAGGAGAGACAGCGACCCTGAGGTGAGCCAACCTTCCCCTCCGCGGCCTCTCTCCCGGCCTCTATTCTCCTCTCTGGCTTGGGACGCTCAGCAGCTCAGCCCTTTCCACCAGGGCCTCCGGGTCTGCCTCCGCGCCAGGCTGCCTTGCAGTTCCTTCGCAGCGGCCCCCAGCAGGGGCCTCTCCTGCGCTGTGCTCCTTCCTCCCGGCCAGGTCTGCTACTTCTGGGATATCCCTCCTTGCATTCTTGTTGCACATACCGTCCCCCGGCCAGGGCCAGGACCCCTTCCCAAGTAACCAGTCACCAGCGGATTGAGCACGACGCTCCAGGCACCTGTGATAAGCCCCAGCTTCCGCCAGTGGCTGTCCATGCCGGGGAGCAGGAAGCCGGCCACGTTGGAAGCATTGTAGGGGCCTAAGCAGAGCAGCAGCGTGAGCAGGGCCCCGCCGGCCGCCCAGGCCGCCCTCAGCTTCCGCCTGTGGCTCAGGCCCGAGTGCGCCAGGGCCCGGAGGCAGCCCACGTAGCAGAAGGCCGTGACCAGCAGAGGCACACAGAAGAGGAGCAGGGAGAGGCTGAGGCGGGCCGGGCCGGCCGAGTCTGGCTCCCAGGCCTCCAGGCACACCGGGGAGTCGTTGACTGGGGTGACGATGCCCAGCCAGCCTCCGGGAGCCTCCAACCCGAAGACCAGCCCCAGGTGACAGAGGACAAGGGCCCATATTGCCACACACACACACCAGGAATAGCGTGGCCTCCGGATGGCTTGGTAGCCCAAGGGGAAGGCCGCGCCCAGGTAGCGGCCGGCGCTCAGGGCGGCCAGGAAGCCCCCGCCGGCGTAGAGGGGGGCGAAGTGGGCCAGGGCCAGGGCCGGGCAGAGTGCGGCGGGCAGGGGCCAGGCTCCCGAGGCCAGGGCCTCCACGGCCTTCAGGGGCAGGGAGACGGCCAGCAGCAGGTCGGAGCAGCCCAGGTGCAGGGCGTAGACCAGGCTGGGAGTGAGGCGGAGCCGGGCGTGCACCGCGGCACCCCGGATGGCCAGGGCGTTGAGCGGGAGGCCCAGCACGAAGGCCGCCACGTAGAGGGCGAAGGCAAGCTGCGGAGGCAGGTCCATGGGGCCGGGCACTGCTGCTGCTCTTGTTCTCAAGCCCAACTCGCTCCTGTCCCACCCGCAGACAAGGAGGGAGGGCTCACACGTGGGTCTCAGAGCTCGGAAGGCATCTGGGGGACAGCTGAGGCCCACAGGAGGGGGCGGCCACCAGGCAGCAGTGGAGCCTGCCTTAGAAGCTGCGACGCCAGCCCTCAGTCCTCTGTGCAGGTACACCAGGCCACCTCCCAGGGTGAAGACAGAACGTAGGCCTGCAGGTCCCAGAAGCTGGGAGGCCTCCAGATTTCTGAGACTCTGAGGGGGGAAGGAGGGCAGAGAGAATTCAGAACTTCGTGGGGCCCAGCAGTATGTGTTTCTCTTGGAAATGGGCCTTGGCCTCTTGAGTTCACTCCCCTGCCCTGAATTCCCTGGCAAGAGGACCTGCTAGTGGAAAACCGGCAGGGCAGGCAGGAGCCATGGGGGTGTGGATGTGATGGGGGACTGTGGTGGGGGGCAGTCAAAGGGGGTCCACCACAGAGGGCCCAAGGGTCATGGATGTGATCTTAGCACATCCAGGGGGCACCTAGACAGGAGCTCAGGGAACTAATCACTGGTGTGGAGAGGAGCCACAGAAAGAGGGACTCACCTCTTGGCGCTGCCAGATGTCTCTGAGGCTCAGAAGTCCCCTCACTGGGCTGGTGGAGGATGCCCGGGTTGGGCAGTGAGCCGGAAGGGAAAGAAGGGCGGGGGACAGGGCCATTAGCCTAAGGCACTAGCAGCTTGGGTGAGCAGCTAATGGGGCATCTGGGCTGGAGCTGAAGCCGCCCAGAAAGAGATGAGGGGCTGAGACGGTGACAGGGACACAGAAGGGGGTAAGGAGAGTAGTCTAGGTTTGGTCCAGGTGGGGTGAGGGGTGTATAGAGCCAGTACCTTGATGGAGCAGGGTTTATGGGGTATAACAAGGATACAGCCCTGTTCCCACATACACACTCGCTACGGGGGCTAGGCCTTCCCTGCTCCTGGATGAACTGACTCCTGGGCAGGCCTGTGCCTTACTGGCTCACTCCTGGACACAAAGAGTACTCTGGTGACTGTGATCACTGAAACCATCTCTGTGGTCATTCCAAGGTGTAGCTGTACAGGCTGAAGGCAGCCTTGTGTAAGGAGGTATCCCCTCGAGTCTCCCTCTCCTTTCTGGCCTTTTCTGTGCGGCAATAGGAAGAGGGAGGAGGAAGAAAGGCAGAGGACAAGCGAAGCCTCCCTTGGCCGGCAGTGGAGTGACCAGGCTATTCCTCCACTCTGTCTAGGCCAGCTCCTCCCCAAGTAGGAACACTGGGCACATTCCCTGAGGCACAGATGATGTGTGCCACCATTTGGCCACTCAGCTTCCTTCTCTTGACCCTGGGTGCCCAGCTGACCATTCACATCCCCGCTGGGGTCACCTTGTCCTTCCAAGAAGACTCGCTAAGCAAGATTTCAAATGGCTGCAAACTGGCCCTCTCAGATGCAGAAAAGAAAGCTCTCTGTCCCTATGATTCTCTGTCTATCTCTGTGCCTCTGTCTGCCCCTGCTGCCTCAGATGTGTCAGTCACCAGACCACTGTGTCCTTTCCCAATTCCAAGTGGCAGGTAGAAGCTCCTCTCTGCCTGCCCCCCAGAAGCTCCTCTCAGGGGGAGCATCACGGGCTCTCAGCATAGCAGCAGCTCCCTCCAGTGAAACTATCTCACTTCCTCTTTCTCCCTCCACACCACTAAACCGGTTCTTGCTCTCCTCTCCATGTCCTACACTCGTGGCATGTCACCTCCCCATGAAGGCAGAAGAACATGCCCCGTGTTGTTGAGCGTTTGTCTTTGGGAAACACTGGGACCTGGACAGAACTAAGAATCAGAAGGAATGCGCTGCAGAGAGTCGCTGTCCTCAGGGCTCCCTGCTGTGCCCCGCCCAGTATGTCGGGTCACCTGCTCTGAGGGACTACCTGGGTCCCTACATCCAAACTGACTCCTCTGTCCTCTGTGTTTTTCTTACGTGTGTTTATTCAGAGCACCCGTGACTCTGTAACATCAGGTGAGCTCTCCTGCTAGAATGGTGGCCTTTCGAGACAAAGATTCTAGCCTCCTCGGTCCACTGCATGTGCATAGTAGGCCCTCAGGCCCTGCGAGGACAGTGAGGTCTGGGCTGGATGGACAACTGCCTCCCAGCTTCCTGGCCACCTGCTCTTCACGCCTCAGCAATGCCTGTTGACAGCCACATCTCGTGGTCAATGGATCATGAAGTAGGTTTATGTCAGCAGCTGGGCACCTGGACAAGATGGGAAGGCACTCGATGGTTGCCAGGAGGCTGAGCCAGGCCCATCAGGCTCAGACCTGCCTTCAGCTCCCTAGAGGGGACATTGTCCTAATAGCCCGTGAGGGTCCTAGACTAGACTAGGACCCCCAAGACTGGTCTTGCCTTTTTTGTGCCCCATAACTGACCTGGTCTGGAGAAACTAGCTGGTGCTTAGGAGATGTTTGTGGAATGAATGAAGGGATGGTTGAATGACAGTGGCCCTCATTTGGGTACAGAAACCACAAAACTCTCCTTCTCTCAATTCGTGAAGTCTCACACCTTCCTCCAGAAAAGTGAATGGTGCTCACAAGAAATCGCCTGGGAACAAAGCGGATGGCTGGGGAAATCCGGGACTCACCCACAGTTTTAAGAGTAGCCACTCTCACATTGGGCAGACATGAGAAAGGAAGGTGGCACTCTGGGGCCACCTGCCATGGGCCGGGAGCTGTGCACTCATCGCCTTGGCGACTGGTGAATTGCAGGTTTCTGGTCTCTGGCAGAGCAGGTGAATGAGTGAGAGGTTAAAGCTGAGAAGTGGCGGGGGGGGGGGGCACTTAAATGGAAAGTTTGAATCAGTGAAAATAATAGGGAACGGCGTGGGGTGGGGGGCATGGGGCACAGCAGTGAACGACAGAAAGGCAGTGAGGTTCCTCAGGGCAGCTCCAAGACATTTTTTTTTTGGCAGCTGTGGGTCGTGAAAGAGCTCTCTTGGTTCACTTTTGAGAAGAGCTGTGAGTATTGAATGGCTTCCCCTTTTGTACATTCTTCAAGAAATGCAAATAAAAGATGGGAGTTGTTGGCGGCACCTGTGACTCAGTGAGTAGGGCCCCATATATGGAGGGCGGCAGGTTCAAACCCGGCTACAACATAAAAATAGCCAGGCGTTGTGGCATGTGCCTGTAGTCCCAGCTACTTGGGAGGCTAAGGCAAGAGAATCACCTAACCCCGGGAATTGGAGGTTGCTGTGAGCTGTGTGATGCCACAGCACTCTACCGAGGGTGATAGAATGAGACTCTGTCTCTACAAAAATAAATAAATAAATAAATAAAGATGGGAGTTTCTTTTTTAGGAGCTTTTGGCTTTGTTGCTAGGTCTCTTCTAAGGTGCCTTTAGCATATGTAAGATTATTTCACACTCCTTATCTTGAACCACCCTTGTGGAGGTAGTGGCATCTCCATTTTACAGACCAAGAAACTGAGGCCCAGGTGAGCTGGTGAACTCTGTCCACGGTCACTTGGCTGGTCAAATAGAAGAACCAAGATCAGACACATGCTTGTCAGCCCGCAGACGCCCGTGCACTTCCCTAACAAGGCAGCAGACTCTCCCAGCTGCTGATTTGATGACAAAATTGCTGTGACTCTTTTCCTCCCCCATGCAGCCCCCCACGATGCCTTCCTCGTCTTCCCGTCTGCTCTCTCACTCCACAGACCGGAATGAGCTCACTGGGCCTTGGAGGTGTTGTCTAAGTTTTTATTTAGTACCATTTTTATTTGGTACCTCACTGTTTCTTAAACATTTATCCACACAGAGGTAGGTATCAGGCTCCCAGGCCCCTAAGGGCCGAGGCTGCTGTCCCGTGACCCCTTCCACAGAATGTCTCGCTTACATGGAGACATGTTTCCAGAGGAAGAGCCAGCTTGGGATGGTGCCTCTATCTACCCCCATTTCTGTCCTTTCCCAGGCTTTTCTCCAGAGGCAGAAATTGGGCATGAAATTAGAGGGTGGGGATGTCAGAGTAGGGGAGGGATCAAAGGGAGAGGGATGGGAAGAAGGAAAAATGATGACAAGCTGATCCTGGCAGGCACATAGCCAGCTGGAGGTAGGGCTGGAGAGGGGCAGGTGGTGGCAGATGGCCGGGGTTGGGGCAGGTGAGGCGCACGGCACGGAGCAGGTGTTCACGTAAGTTTCTGGGCAGGAAGGAGAGTGGAACAGGTCTTTTGGAGGGTTGGGTTTACCAGTGCCAAAAAGACTGGCTGTGGGCCAGGCATAAGTTTCCCCCGGGTGAGTGTGAGAGGACGGGGGCCAGGAGACACCATGGGGCAGCAGCTGAGTGTCGGTGGCTGGGGCAGCTCTGGGATCTCCCCAGCCCCTGTCCCCGCCAGGCACCTTTGCCACAGCCAGTTTGGCCATCAGTGCTTGAGAGTCACATACTCCACATTTTCCTGGACCCGAGGCCGCTGCCCAACCCCAAACTGAATCAGCTCTGAGTAGTGAATCCCTTCATCCTCAGGAGAATCCGGAGAAACGTTCTCATAGTCGCCCTGAGAAATCCACGCAGTGGTGAGCGGGGCCTCCCCACCTCCAGCCTCCTGTGGACTACCTTCCTGCCCCTCTCTCCCTGATTCCACCTCAGTCCAGAAGCTCACTTGGGGGTTTCTGTCTAGAAGCCAGCTTGTGGTTGGTGATCGAGCCTCAGCTCTGCCTGAGCAGCCCTGCCTCCCCAGCCAACCCCCAGCCTATGCCACCACCTTTGGGTAGGACAGAGGCTCCCACTCTCTCCCACTTGACCTCCCAGAGCCTGGTCCTCTTACCACTCGAGGCCTCTGCAGCACCGAATAAGTGACCATGTCACTGCTGTCTTGGTGGAACCTCTGAGCCGCTGAAGTCTCTGCATCTCTGGGGGTGTAGGGGACAGATGGACGACCATGGAGAAGCACTGCCTGTGAACTCTCCTTTCCCAGCCCCCTTAGCCCCTCAGCAGC